AGGAAAAATAAGAGATGACACACAATTTCTCGACTATATGTTTAACATTTTTTGCATATCATGACAGGGATTCTTTTTAGCTTAGTTTAAACTTGAACAATCGAGGGAAACTGTTAGAATAGTTTAAACTGTCATGTAGAGGCCCTATTAAACAAATGTGTTTTCATCAAAATTGCGTTTAAAAAAAAAATGGGAAATTTCGTAGATCAAGGGTTTATAGAATTTTTTTTTGAAATGCATAACGATGATCATTACTGATAAAATTTTAATTGATTAAAATATGTAATGTAATTAATATTTTATTTAATAATACAAATTAATATTAATAATCGAAAGAAATTATATAAACACTTTATTATGATAAATCACAAATTTAAGTAAAAATGGCATATATTAATTTATTTAACAATAATTTTATTAATATATTAATTAAAAAATTTTCTTTTTCGATTGAATTGAGAAGAGAAGATTCATCAACAGTAATTCTTGTTGTAAAAGACCTTGATGAAAACGAACTTTCTTATATTAAAATCATATCAAAAGATTTAAATGGTCAAACCAGAATTAAAACTGTATTTCATGGTAATAACATGTATATATTAGCTTATCCAAAAAGCTATATTATAAAATTTCATGGTTTAGAAATACTTTCCATAATTTCAGATCAAAAGCGATTTTTTATTAACAATGTTTTTTATTTGTACTGATATAATTTTAATAATAAAATTTAATAATTGGTTTAAATTCATAATTTAATCATAATGTTCATAATTTACATAATTAATAGTCATAATTATCGATATAACACATAATAACATTCTCACATTACTCACTTGATTTGTGTTTAAAAAAAATAAAAAACGATTGGAGTTATACTATACATTCATAAATTTCGATTTTTAACGATTATAAAATTAAAAAAAAAATGTTATTCATTTCGTCAATTAAACGATTATTTTTTTCATTCGAGAAAAAAATAATAAATGATCTTTCTCGTAGAAAGATAAAGAAATGTAAAAAAAAAATGTTCTATTTATATTTGTTCTTGTAAAAATGAATCATAAAATTGCCATTCCTTGTTTTTCAAATCGGATAAAAATTTTTTTGTATCTTTAATTTCTTCTAAAAGATTATTATTAAAAACATGCCCACAATCATTGATTAATGCGTTAAAATTATCAAATTGTATGCCAACATCTTCATCGTTTGTTAATTTCAAATTGGTAGCAATATTTTTTAGTATTGGAACAGTTGTATTAATAATATAATCTTTTAGTATTGTAAGGCAAATGTCTTTCATTGATTGAATTTCTTTCAATCTTAACAAAACTTGTTCGAAAAAATAAATTTTATTGGTATCCATATTGTTTAAGATACAAATAACAAGGATAAAACACTAAGTATATTTATAAATTTATTTGATTAATAATTAAAATCTTATTGAGATGAATATTTTAAAAGGAATGTTGTAATTTTATCTTTTTGTAATTTTAAAGACTTATGATAAACATCTAATAAAAAGGTTTTTTTATCCGATTGTAATATATTACTAAATGAATTTACAAAAATGTCACCGATATCATCGATCCTATTTTCAAAAAGACAAAATATTTTTAAGATATTATTAATATCTATTTTAAAACCCAAATCTAAAAATTCTTTAAATCGTTTAATGATAGTTTCTGCATTAGGAAGATTTATAGGTTGATTTGGTGGAAAAAGAATAAGTGCAACACCTTGAAATGTTAAATCTCTAACATCATCACATATATCATAATATCCAATACTTTTCCAATATTTGATTAATAATGAATTTAATAATAATTCTCGAGTGATTACATTTAATTGTCGATTATTTTCAAAACCATCTAAAGAAGGATATTTTTCAATGTTATAGTTTTTA